ACACATGCCACGAAAGTGGCGACACAGGCCGATTGCGAGAGGCGCGGCCCGCGAGTCTTCTGTCGTGTGTACGCGTCTTCGCAACGTGGCCATAGTGAAGCAAGCGAAGCCTGCAAGGTCCAGTCGGACCAAGGCGCGCAAGTTCTCCCCGCGCGACGTATATAGTGCAGCTTAATATATCGTATATCCACCGTCCTCTCCTTCTTTCTCCTCTCCGCTCCTCATCTTCATTACCCTTCCCCACACCACCGCAGATATTGCATAAGAACACGTTAATCATTATCCGAACACCAAGCCTAAGGGTCTCGCGTAAGGATATTCTAAAATAATATATGGCCATATCTGCGGCACCCCTGCATACTGAGCAGCACTCTAGCCCGAATGTGTTCCTCTGCGTTTTTTTTTTCTATACTACTGTGTTTCGTCTACATAGATAGTGTGAAGGTACATACAGACACAAACCAGTTATAACCAGCTCCTCCTTCCCCCTTCTCGGATGCGCGTGGGCTAAACCTCAACAGCTTTGCTGTAAATGAACGAGGAAAGACAAGGAGTTGAACATTGCAAGCGGTAACGTTTACTTATCTCTGCTATTCACTTCAGTTTCAAGGGGTGGCCTACGAGAACCCTCTGAAAGCGCATAACTATAGAAACGGGCTACTCCCTTCCGAAGACGGACAGCACGCCCCAATAACATATTGAAACAAGCTCAGCGCGAATGCATATAGTTGCGAACTAAAGGACAAACTAGCACCGCGATGCGCATCCTCCACAAGTCATTAAGTAACTGCCGAACAAAAGCATATCCCTCGCTAAGCGGTGGAGGCGCTTGGCGCAGCAAAATCGTCGCAATTTCAATCCAGCAACAGCCTCGCGGCCAGACGGAGAAGGGAGGGGGAGTAGCAATTCAGTGAAATCGCCGTCAGTTTCCTATATGCCGCCCACGAACGCAACTTGCCGTGCAAGCAGCGGAAGAAAGCAAACAACGGCCCTCGGACGCGCAAGAACGAGTCGACGCCGAGTTTATAGGCGGTGCACTTGTTGCGCCACGCGTCCCAGTGTCTCGAGAACACCGGGGCCGCCGCGGGGTAATCGGAGTAATTAGGCGCGCGCATACCCGCTCGGGCGGAGCGTGCCCTCTCGTATGGTGCGTATGCATATAGACGTACACGAACCACCACCGGCTACCCGTGTTCGCGTGCATGCAAGCTCACGGGACCGCCGCCCCGGCCTACTTTCTACGCCCTTCCGCAAACATTGCGCAGCAGAGTTACGACACACCTCGTGTACACAGGTGGCAAGGCGAGACGCTAAGGCAACACGCATCGAAAGCTTAACCAATCTCGCTTTCGGCTAATTTCGGAGACGCTGCACACGCGCGTGTGTATACATAGGATCCCCGCCCCCCCCGTCACCGCTCGATTCAATAAGCGTGCCTTAATTATGCCCCGTACCTGCCACAAACTATAGCCTCAAGTAGTGTTACCACTCGCAGAGTTTGTTCAAGCTTGGTGTAGGGGTAAAAAATACAATAGCCGGAATCAGTAATTAGGCCAACCCTGCCAGCAGAGCTGGGCGTATCACACAAGAAGTGCATTAAAGTATAACGGATGCGCTCCGCTGCCGGCCACCGCGAAATTCACGCACCAGTTTCCCCATAATGCCGTAGTATTGCGGCACCGTCAGGCTACAGCTATAATCCGTTGAGAACAATTACGTTTAATTTAAATACGCACAAACACGCAACAGGGCAGCCTTCAAACATGTCGTTCATGGACCGGAAAGGTATCGTTAAATGTCTAGAAAGAAGGAAGGTGTAATAGACGCTAATGCAAGGGACCGTTCTACTGGTGTATAGGCACAGCTTTGGGGTGTGCTATCAGCATATACCTCAACCCGCACGAGACGATTACCCACCCCACCTTCCTTTTGCAGATAGAAAAATGGCTCAATCGGAAGACAACAAATATCACGTAATCGTCGGGTACGTAGCCAGCCGATACCACTAAACAATCAAACGGAGAGCTGCTGGGTCCCCCATTCGCTGGTGTCGCGAAGTAATGGATATACATGGCTTCGGAACCGTGTCCTTTTCTGCGTATACCAATTTACAAGGCTGAGAGTTGGACAGCGCCAGCCTCTGTATGATCAGCGCAGATTATGAGGTGCGACGAGTGTGCGTGCCTGCAGTGGTACACAATAACGAAAAGCAACGGGCGAAAGTAATTGTCTCGGCAAAGACAAACAACCACTGGCGGTTACGCAGCGCCCGAAATAACGAACAAACTGCGGTACCCCGCTGAAGCTCCGGAAAGCGAACGGGGCCAAGGATCCTACAGTATACGAGCGACCACGTGTGTGCACCCCCTCTTCACGTCCGTCAACGGAGACGGGGCGGAAAGCGAACAGATTGGCGACGCGAGAAGGTCGGGGAGCGTTTCCTGGCGTGGGGGACCGCGACCAGACACCAAGGACCGCTTGCCGGTGACAAAGACGTCGTGTCTTCCGTCTTTGGAGTAGCGGTACTGTTTCGCAGCAGTAAACAAGTAGACCTAAAGAACTTGTTTTTAAGCGAGTTGGTGATTACATAACATGGTGATTTTAGCGCTAAAAGAAAGGACAAAGACGGGTGAGAGACTGACCTGTCTGTCACACGTACTCATCTTTCTTTTAGCGCAAAAATCACCATGTTACGAACGAGGAGAGTATGCACCAGCGGAGGATTCAGGAGACCTGGAGGTATAAGACTAGCGAACGAGCAGGCCCAGTTCAGAGCTCTTTGTTTGGGCGCGAAGGCATGTTATATCGACGTTATATAAGCATAAGCGCAGCATAAGTATAAGCGCGTAAGGCCAGTGTGGGTCAAACCTTTGCCGAGAATGCGAACTACCACAGACACCAACAAATCTTAGAGCACTCAAAACAGTGATTCAGCAAACTTTCTGCGCTAACAAGCTCAACGCGCCTCACCCTCACCCATTGAAAGGGAAATCATTCCGAAACAACGAAGGAGAGAAAAAGAGGGTGCTGATTAGGTGAGCTGTGAAGAAAGCACACGTAAAAACACAAAAGAATAGTCTTACTATGGTCAAATAACAAAGAAAAAAAATCAACGAAGAATGCCATTGTATATTCTACGATGGCCAAAGTCATTCCAATGGAAAGCGGGAAATCCGAGCGGCTGAGCGTGGCATTCTCCGTATAAATGCCTATATATGGAACATATGGCAGCAGTTCAGGATTTATTCGGACCCCTTCAAGTGGTTAGACACTGTACCGATGTACAGGACGCCCCTGCATCCGAGCCGAGAGCGATAACTGTTGACACAAAAACACAAACAGTATGGGCGGCTTCTCTCGAGAAATCAGCATATACTTGAGAGTAGAACGATATGCAGGCGCTGAGCTCGCATCCAACCGACTCCCAGAAAAGTAGTCCGAAGAATATATTATTGTGCTTGTAAAATAAAAAAAAAGCTACCGCCGCGGTTGTACAGCGCTACAATCACGTATACTTCATTGAATACTTGCAGAATTGGTTCGCAAGGAGCTCGACTCGTATCGCCACACTTTCATAAAGACAGTTGTTGTTCAGCGACATATTCCGCTGAACGAGCACGCAGAGGAGAATGCCACGTGATAGCGTACCTTGCGGAATTCTCCAGGCAGAAGACACCGGAATAGCTGAGTTCGGAGCCGAAGCGCGCCAACTCCGAGTCGTGAGAGATGAGACAAATGAAAGGGAAAAAAAACAAAGAGAAAGAAGAAAAAAAGGATGGAACGAAAGAGATAGAAAAAAAGAATGCTATCCCCGGGCTGGCGGGAATGTTTCGTCGTTTTTCCCAGCGGAATCGGATGTCGTCGCCGATCCCGCGCCGGAAGCAGCGACATATGCGCGGGGGGGCTTGTACGCAGAATACGAGAGAACAGCTGCGCGTCGACGCTTTGACGCAGCGGTCGTTTCCCAAGAAAATTAAGCACGCAAGGCGCATCCATCGCTCTATACGTCCAATCGAAAGAGAAAACAGACGCAACACGAATGCTCTCGTAATAAAGCGAGACACGAAAGCTAGCAAGGTCGTAGTACTATACACGCATCTCGTTCACGCGCGCATGCGTATGTCGACCGCAGCAAACTTTCAGCGCTTGTCTGTGTCCTCTCCGAGTGTCTGTATTTTGAGCGCTTGTTTCATCATGAACCTTATACCAACACGCCCAACTGGCAGTCTTCCTAAACTTTCAGAGTTGCTTTGCGCGGAGAAGTCACTGTAAGCGCGGAACATGCTTATTCACAATGGCACATACAACTTGGCGAATTCTACTTCCGTGAATACAGCGTCGATGTTATAACAGCAAACTTGGCCATTATTAGCCGACAATGGACGACACTAACCAGCAATGGTAGTGAAATTCGATAGCTAAATGCCATTAGATATTATTATCCTATAGACAACTTAACCCGATAAAAAGGTGGTATACGACCGCGAAATTATTGTCGTAAAAATATTAATGAGTTGATGGCAATAGACTATCGCCTTCATTTGCTGTTAACGAATGGACCGCGATCACATGCACAGTAAGTGAGCGCGTCCTTGCGTGGACACATCAAGAAAGAAAATCAGTTTCTTCGTCACCGCTAAACAGTCTGAATGTCATTTATAAATGGCGCTTTTTCGAAGACCTCGACAGCTTCTTTGAGCTAACGGACACCGTGGCACCGAAAACAGCAACCGCTTTACTGCAGGGGCATGAAACTCGGAGCCTTGAATCAGCGATATATTGTAGTCGTACATATATACTTACTGCGCATGTTAGGATGCGCCAGCAAAGCACGCGCTACCATGTAACGCAGAGACAAGTATGAGGTCTCATACACTTATAGGAGAATCCATTTACAAAGGACATACCACCTGAAATCCAACGTCTTTCGCTGCGAAACTACAATATTTCACTGTTTTTGACATACAAGACAAGAAATTCAGACGAGAAAGTCTACTCACCATTTTGAGCGTGTCTTCGCGCCGCAGCATATACAGCATAGACTGCAGGTGCGCCCTGATGTCGCCGGCCACTGCAAAAGCAAGAGGAGAAAAAAATTGAGAAAATGACGTCACAGTGGGGAACGCCTCGCGCGAGCCAAGAAGGGCGAATTGCCCGGCAAATATAAACGAGAACCACCACACAGCAGCGCGAATACCGTAATTTTCGCCAATCCCTAACATATATCATCAAGCAAGCGGTGATCACAAAGGCAGCAACGTTTCGGATTTCGTTCACCGTGCAAGGATGTTTCACGTTTCGTAGGAAGAAAACATCGACTGTTAATGCGGAACATGCAGGTAACTTCATGACAACTATACGCTTATGCCAACTCTAAACAACTTACAGAACAGCCTAGACATGTGCGTTACGAGGTAAGGCGCCTTTGTATAAGGTGATACCAAATCTTGACTTGGGCGTCTGGCAGTGGCACTTCTAACTCTCGGCGCTCGCGTGCACCGGTGTATTCCTTCAGTTAACGATCTCGGAGGCCACGCAAGAAGAAGCACGTGGTTGACATGCCCTCCGCCACGTGGCGCAAACGATCTCAGCTGCTTGCAAAATTGGACGTATTCAATTTACTTGATTTATGATAAATTATTTTTATTTAATTTTCAGTGTGTAACACAGGCAGCGCATATTTGCTAAAATGGCTTCTTTGATAAAGCACGAGCTCACTGGACGCCTTGCACACGGACACATATACACTCAAACCTCGATATAGTAAACCCGGATATAACGAAACATTAGTTTTAACGAAGTAAGTGAAAATAGTTTCCATATGAATATGGTGCTAAAATACATCATTGCAACAAACACTCGGATATAGCGACCTTATTTTCGTGTAAGGTGAAGGCTTGTTATAATGATGTTTGAGTGCATACTGCCGTAGTGAGCTTTGAAAGAGAGTATGCTTTTTCGGCTCCCTCGAGGACGAACATAATTATGCTCGTATATTGCAGCACTGCCCTTCCTCAAGAACTCGTTCGACTACACGCTTAATAAAACCTAAATATTACGAAGAAAAAGAAGCAGGCAAGCTCGTCCTGCCACTAATTCTGCCGAAGGATGACGCTAACACAATCGCTTCCTGACGCTGCCAAATTCTGCTGGCACCGACTCAAGTGGACGAGGACTACACAGAAAGGGGCACTGTTCCCACCAGGTTCAATTAAGGCCTTTACGCGCTTGAGAAAAATAGAAACAGTACGGCAGTAGAGAGCTTGATTTGAAGTATACTAACTACTTTCTATAAGTGCATACATTTTCTCGCCCCCCCCCCCCCCCCGCCCAACCCACCTTAACTTTTTTTGTCGTTTTCCCAACTTCGTGACCAATCGCATACGTGACGAGGTTGAGCCATGACGCTATAGTCATAGATCTGCACTGGAAAAGCAGTAGCTCACAGACATTCACATCTGATCTCAGCTACACTTTCCATTTATGGAGTGTTGACTAAGTACGAACCGGGTGATCTGTCTAGCCATGAGCCCCGGTGCGCTCCGATTATAGTAGTAAACGCGAATTTCCGCACGTGTCCTCGGAACCGTATAATACTTACTATCTGCTATACCGAACTACTGAACCCAGGCAGTATTTGAGCTACTGCCGCCGATATGCGTTGGGGCCAAGCTCCAACCCGTATCAGGACATTTATTTCACCAACTGTGATATAATCTTTGAGAAACCCTAGTTTCCTGCGCATTTGGTTTCTACATCTTCAAAAATAAGTTTTACAGCTCAGTGTATTTTTTCTAATACGAAGGAAAACTTCCTTAACGCAGGTAATTACGACGAACCCAACTTGTCATAAAGAAAAAACACTAATGTGGCACTTGATCTGTTTCAGTCCGTGTCTTTAACGCAGGGTTTAACACCAAGGCCACGTGATCAACCCGCACTATAACTGTCCTTATTATGTGTTTAAAACTATATACATTGTAGAATATCGCCCTCACCAAATCTACATGCCTTCCACTGTACTAAAGACAGCGAAACACCAAGAGATGGAAATCTCAATGTTAAGTGGGTAAAACAGTGCATATATAAGGTTTTTTCGTAGTGAAGCAGCAAAGTGAGCTCGTATAAGCGAGCAGCCATACAGGCGCGGCTGCACTCTCAGAGCACCAGCAAATGAAACCTGCCTTGCAACGCAAATACACTTTTGGACGCAAACCAAACGAGCATCCGAATCTTGGCTAGACGAGCGCTATTCGTTACGCGAGAGTGGCAGGTAAACAACGTCGCTGACGTCACTTTTCTTTGCCTGACGGTAATGAGAGAACCGCGTCGCCGAAAGGGTTATTGAAAGAAAGCGTTGATTGCCTGCCGAATGCGAACGTACTGAAACCTTTGTAACTGCACAACTTGTGTAATGCCCGACCACATTTACCTCAGTGCGTGAATGAAATGACAGAGCATAAACAAAAAAATGTACCCTCAGTCGTTGAATGAAAGAAAGAAATGACACCATTTCCCTCTCAAGGGAACAATGACGCGATGCGAAGCTGTACGGGGGTGCACACCGCCCAAGAGAGGGCCGACGATCATCGGCGACCAGGAACGCCGACGCGCTCTGGCTCACGAAAATTCTAGCACACTAACGGAAACGTGGAACGCGTTTCTACGGGGAGCCAGAGTCCTTCAATTTTTTTTCTTCAATTTTTTGCTGGTCACGAAACTCCGCCCGAAGGTTGATATAGGGACAAAATCTGTCGCTAGAGGCGCCACCCGTCGTATGGGGGCCACAAGCCGCCGCCACTGCTGGGCTTGTATGCGCACTGCGGCCGACGTTTCGACGCGATTATGTGCGTGCTGTTCTTCCTGTTACCTTTTTTTAAACGTCTCTGAACGCATCATAGCCACCAGATAAATAAGCTGAAACGGGATCCAGTGTCGACGACGAATTAGAGCTGTTTACTTTGGAACGCACGCGTAGTTTACTTGGAAGTGCGGGCCCACCTTATAAACAGCAGCGCATAAAAGTGTTCCACACCGCGCGATAACGCATTGTGTCAATAATTGTCTCATAGCCCAATTATATGCATACTTACGATGCCTCGAAGCGGTACTTGCGAGCTATAGCTCGCAAGTGTTGAAAGACGATGCTTATGCTCCATGCTCTTGATGCGAGCAGCTACTGCTTGATCTGCTCGACAACATGTTTGTATTTGCGCCCGGCCAAAGGGAGATTATGTTTATGCGGTAGGTGAGCTTTATATTCTGGTAGGGCCGCTAATAGGGGGAGGAAGGTGAACGAAATGAAACACGACTGGGTAGTACAGGAGCAATCACATTGGTTTATATCCGGCTCGCCTCTCGCACGCTACTACCCAAGTATTCAAATGAACTGAATGGTTGAGCCAGAAGTTTTATTCCAGACCTTTCAATTGAGTTTATACCCAAATGCGCAGTTGTTTTGGACACACGTTTGTGAGCGCTGATCGCTTTTTTGACGCGGGGACTTTCGATGCCGAGGGCTTTCGCGACCGCTCTAAACGTGCCCAACATTTGATTGATCACTTCTTTCCACGCAGTTTACACGGGACACCCACCGCTTGACGTTTCCTTGTGTTTACTGTTTAGGGCATTATTATTTACCGGCCGACAACCCATGATTTCTCCGGGAACGGAAGTACAGCAGCCTAATCTAAAAGTTCATTTTGATGCCAGTGCTAGTCGCTTGGCCGCCTCTGCCACTACCAAGGTACCTCATCACACATTTGTTTGTATTTTTTGGGTGGGAGGGGGGGGAAGGGCGTTTATGATTTCAGGCATGCAATAAATCTTAAACTTGGTGCTAATGATGCGCCGCCTAGTAGTCAGGTGTGTACTTATGAATGGGAGATTCACATATGGTGCATGTAATGGGGAGAAAGTTGGAAAACATTTATTTACACAAAATACACTGAGAACAACACTTTGGAGAAGAAAAGCACTAGAAACTATTGCAGCTGTTCTGAGCAATGTTACACAATCTGTGACTCTACTGTAAAATGTGTATTTCGTTTCATTAACAGCTGCACTCTGCCTTAGCTCACTGCCTAAAATAAACTGTATTTGAATATACACTATTTACACTATATGCAGATAAATATGAATAGTACGAAAATATTACAGTGTAATGTATACAAGATATACAACACTTTATACAAATGGGAAGGCGTGCTCACATACACAGCCATTATGCTTAACACTGTGGCTTCCGCCCACCACTTGCAGGGCATGAACTGCGCACAGTTGCCCGCGAGGCTTTGTTTTTTTCTCGAGTGAAGAAATGTAATCTACATCTAAAAAAAAGTGTACAACCACAGCTGTTGTCCCTAAAAAGTGCAACAGATACTTCTCCTGCCGAGTCGGTGTTGACATTTTGGCATTCCACTGCTGCGCATTACGGTGACAATTCGCGCCGCCTCTTCGCTGGTTGCCTCTGAGTCGCAGGCCGTGAACGCGGTTTCGGCTTTGTCAGGTACGCCGAGAGCCCGTCAAAAATTCTTGGAACGGCGTTCGTGCGAAGCCTCGGTCTCTCTCACTGAAGCGACATGACCACCCCATTCACGATGTGCTCGTCGGTTCTCACAACGTCGCCAGCATCAAAATGCTTTTCGCACACCCGAACGTTCTTACTTTCGAAGCTGAAACCGCCAGCTTCCAACCGCGGTATAGCTCGCTTCCATTTATCTCGGAGTTCAGCGCTACTTGGGAAACAGAAGAGCGACGCCTTTTCTTTGTTGCTTCGGTATCCGGAGCTGCAACCTGTCACACAGCACGTCTTAGGCATTGTTCATTCGAATTTTCATGCCGTCCACCTTGAGCACGGTGCACTGGCACATGAAGTTCGCGTTTCGCTGATGCTGAAACCGCGAGCTGCCACCACACAACGCCTTCGGGATGCCGCCGCGGCCAGTGCGTTCCGCCGGGCGCAGCGGGGCGATGGCCCCCCTAGGACGGCTTGCGCCGCGTAGCGGCCGCTCTTGGCACCATATCAAGCTCTCCCATAGAGTGACGGAGAAGTTTCGTGACCAGAACGGT